GGGTTGTGTTAACCCCAGATACCTCTAGCTTTCCATGGGGGTTCACCGAAAAACCCACCGGTACTCATTTGTAGTCCACGTGCATTTGGAGCGCGGGTCCCTATCCCGAAGAATGAACAATACTTGAGTTTTTTAGTGCTAGCTAGCCCAACCTGCCTGAGAAATGAGTCAGGAGGGTAAGATTCTAAAGAAACTGTGGTGTTGCGTCGGTGGGAGAGTATAACTGGGTAACTTAGTATCATCAACTGACTTGATAACGTAAATTGGCCACCGTCAAAGCGATGGCAAAGAGCTAACGCTCGAAACGTCAGCTTTTAAACTCTTTACTGTGCCCAATCTACGTTATCAACTCAGATGATACTAAATTACCCTGATAAATGAATCACTTAACAAAATGATTGGCCTGGTTCTCACAGGGGCAGTTGCGTTGGTACTGAATTTTATCTTTGCTAGCAAAGTAACACAATTTTTTTTTTCCTTGAAGGGGTTATTTTAAAATAAATTGAGTCTTATAAGTCATTGAGAATTGTCATAAAATAAATGATCAAAATAGCAGCTTAGAAATGTCGACAAACACTGAAGAGGTAAGAATATATCAAACAAATATTGCCAAGGATCTCAGATAACAATTGTCAAACTCTTACATTGCAATCAATTTTCTGATTATTTGCTAGAGAACTTCAGGGAAATATTTGCTTTGCTCTCAGATTGGAATGAAAAAGAGCTGCATCACTTTTAAGCCTTTCACATGCATGACTAAAACCAATCACAAGTCGGACACGCTTGTAATCATGCGCTCCAAACGGTTTGCCTTTGTTTTAGCTTTCATATTTTCATTCTCCGGATTAGCTGTTGTGACTATTTTAGTTTCGAACTGAAATACGCTTTAAGTCCACAAACAGTGGAATAATCTCAAGCAATGATGAACAAGTGGCGTAGATAAGCACCCTTCAAAGTGCCAAATAAGAAGAGAGTATTTACCCTCGTTTCCAGTCGTTGTCTACTTCCTAGTGGACTTCCTCTCAATGACGTCATGACCAAAGTCACGCTATTAAATCGAATATGGCCTACTTCGAAAGGACTTCAAGTGAATGATGACGAGAACTTCGAAATACGAACGAATAATATTCAAGGGAGAATGAACATCAATTTCGGACGAACTCTGTCATGTAAAGATGATGTTTAAGCAACTATGCCCGTTACATTCACACCATTCAAGTTGTCTCGTCACGACTGTAGAAAGGCAAAGACCTTCCTTGTATTATTATTGGTTAATTCCATTCTCTTCCTCGGAATCTATGTCGCCGCTTCAAGAAGAATTCAGGATCGATTCAGAACTTCACCATTTCCACCAAGTCACATCAATTTAACGACCCAGGTTCCAGCAATAAAAAATACGTCAGAAAATGTTCGGTTGCATCCAGTAAACCTGTACAACCTTCCCAAGGAAATTCAAGACGCGCTGATGAAAGTAAACTCATTTATGGAGTCAAAAATGATTGAGAAATCCACTTCCATATGTCAATTTGCGTGGAAACTCGACAAGGCAGAAAACACCGTAAATCTATTTATTTGCGATTAATTGACTATTTTACGAGACATCTAGTGGCGTGACCTGAAGAAACTCACAAGCTATTCTTACGGAATCTCCATGTAATCTTGTATTTGCTAAAATAAGCAATTCTCCGTATCATCCAAACAGATTGTTAACCTTGATTTCAAAAAACGTTATTTGAACTATTCCATTTACAGCGTCGAAGTTACTGTATTTTGTGGCGTAAAAATCCAATTAAGCGACGAGAAGACATATTTCCGCACCATCACACACTTAATTACGCAAAAATTACCATTTTGATAAGAGAAAACAACAGTGAAAACAATAAGTTAGGAGTTATGCTTTGTCTTGGAACAGTATGGAGTCATATATAAAGATATCTGATAGGGCTCGTGCGCCGACTTGTGTCTGCGATGTTGTATATGTAAATAAAAAAAATTTTAGTCTCAGCGGGCTGATGTACTTGTTGCCGTATTATGTTTCATTCATTTCCCTCCGCAGACAACCGTGTCTGAATGATGTGACAAATACCCCTACCCCACTCCCTCCCTTTTTTTGGAAAAAATGTGATTTTAATTCTATAATATTGGACAGTAATCAATGAAGAAGCAGCCTTTTAGGGAACAAACCCCAAGTAACTGATAACATTCTTTTTATGAAGTCTTCTCGCGCCGGAGAAAATTGAGAAGTTTTTAATTTTCTTTGATGCAAGATTTTATCAGCATATACTATTGACGTCTAGGGTTAAAACTTAATCGGGAAATTTTGAGACAGACCAGTAAGTAGAAGTTATCAATTAGTTATCACTAGAGAAAGATGTTTTTCGTCTTGTCACGAGCGAGGGCCAAAAAAAATTCTGAGTTCCCATGAGGAATCGAACCTCAGACCGAGAAGCATTTCAGACTCAATTTGGAGCCAAGGCCATTTCTTGCTATCCAGGCCGCCGACTCCTTCGCCGCTACGCTCTTCCTGCCCCCTCCCCCCTCCCTCCGAAAAAAATAACAAAAAGGGAATGCCTGCTCGCAGGTTTCAGGCAACCTTGACTACCATAGTCAAGAGTATTGTTATACTGTACAGCCGTTTCGAATGACACATTCGTTAACACCGCAGCCAGTCATCTGGGTACCAATTATTATTTACCATGTTCTCGTTTTTTTTTTCCTTCATTCCCTTTCTTCCTTGTGCACGTGTTAAATCTCTTCTATGGAAGACTTATGGTACCTGCTAATGTAGTGCGTGCAGCGCTAAGAGTTATGTAATGTACCGGCTGCTCCCAAGAGACGACTTACCAATACCTGTTGTTCATTTTCTGTCATTTTACTGAAATATTTCTAAACATTGAATTGCTTAAGCTTTACATCGTTCTTTGTTTCAATCATAATACTACGAATATTCTCTCCTGCAGTTAGGTAATATCGCATAACGAACAGGGTTAAAAGCAACAATCAATTCGTAAACTTTACGAGTATTCTACCGACACCCATAGTGTTTTAATTCAGTTAAAAAAAAAAGGACAAACTGCGGTAAACCACTTCTAATATCTAACAGCAAAGGGCTTATCGTTGTAATAAACGACCAGATTATGACCAATCAGGGTGCGCGTAGTATCTCGGCTACATTTCAAATCTTGGGTTTCTGGCACGGGCCAGAGTAAGGGACGCTTTACAACGCGCTCGTAGTTACGTAACATCCACGAGGTTCACCAGTCATCACACTAGCGAGGCAAAACGTGAAAAAAGCATAGTCCTGAACGAATAGAGATGAGTAAGAGTCAAACGTTCTAAAATTCCTTTTAGTTTATCTGCAG